CTCTCCCTTTGCCCGTTTTTCTAGGTTCCACCATGTGAGAGCATGACCTTGGAGGCACCCTGTAGCATGACGGACCATCAGGTCCTCCGGACACTCGCTATGGATGAAAGTACTCTCCATTTCTTCAATCCATGTGAGGAGTGCGGTGGCACCATCGATGCCTTTGAAGTAAGGCGGATTGCAGTTACGAAAGTGCTTGAACGAGCAACGAGGAGTGGTTGCTGGAGCTTGTGGCTGAAGAGAATGAAGTTGGGTTGCAATTGTTGGGATGACGTTTGCTACCTCCTTGGCGATAAGGGCAGCTAGCCTTCGGTTGTTGCGAGCAGCGTATGGAGGTCGTAATGCCATCTACGAGAAACACGCATATGGACTTGTGAGTTATTTGTAAATTGATTATGGAAATAAAGTTTTTAGACATTGTTGGGTAAAATAATTGTAAAACACTTGTTGGGCCATGGTTAGGAGTGTTGGGCACCTTTTGGGCTTTCCATGGTTACTAAATGTGAAACATGTAGCACTTGCGTGGGCCCCCACAAAACTAAGTTTTCACATGTCTTTCCCACTTCTAGGCCCATTAGGGAACTTAATAGTCCAATGAGTTGGCCATTTTGGAGTGTATCCTTTCGGATACGTTTGATAAGGTCGGGTATTTTGATGGCTCAAAAGTAATATGAATGACGCACTTTGGCCTATAGGTTTGGGAACTCTCGCCTTTGGTCCCCAGGTAAGCAAACTGGTCCCTCGGTTGATTGGGATGTATACGAATGCTTGCCTAGTCAGGACTTTCGGGCTACCGGCACCTCCCCCTTCCAGTTACTACGCGTCCATTACTATGATCCTACCCAACTAGAGTGGATGACTTTGAATTTCCTATGAGCTCTAAGGAATATATATGTATATACATCTTTTTTTTTCCACTTGAATATGTGTGTGATTTTTTCAGAGAAAGAGGAGAATATTCACCAGTGTATGCACACATATAAGTGTCAGGAGTAATACGTATGCACTTAAGGGAGCAATTAACACACAAAGGTATTCCTAGGCTTTTCTAAGTGTGAATTGCATGCAGTTGTGTGTGCATTTTATAAACTAGCATACGAGAGGACCCTAGAGGCTATAGACTAGGTCAAGGCAATTAACCTAATTCCCTATAGTCAAGGGCTCTGATACCAATCTGTCACACCCCGATCCTTGTCGGAATCGATCAAGGCGTGATATATTGTTCAAAGTCTCATGACAACTATGTTATAATATGATTAGATTCAATTAAGTAATAAGTATGCAAACAAGATCCACAACATACGAATACAAATCCAAATACGAACAACATTTATTACATCAAATTTAAATAGTCTTGTGGATTTCTAAGGCACAACCTATTTTTCATCAACTTCATTCTTCAAATCTGCATCATGGGTAAAAACAGGTCAACTACGAGAGTTGGTGAGTAATCTAATTTTAGTAGAGAAAATTGTGAAGTTGAAACATTTATAATTTGAAATTGGTTTTCTTTTGAAGTCGGCAAACAATTGTATTTGAGATAACGGTTTATAAATCAAAAATTGATTAACAAATGATAACAACAACAATAAGTCCTCACCCTATATATATACATATATATATATATATATATATATAGGATGGAGCATCTAATCATCAAACACACTCAACCACGTGCGATCAATCACCTTAGCGTCCCAAGGCGGGGTGGTCAACCCAATAGCGCTATTATTGTCCATAACGTACCTCAAGAATACGGGCATAGTCATGGAGATTAGACTAAAAATGGTAATGCACTACAAGTACATGTAGCGTAAACAAACAATAGTTATACAATTAATGACTCACGTATAAATATCCCAACAGTGTCTCAATTGTGATAAAACAATAAAATGAAGTTGGAACATATTAGAACCACATGATACACCCCAAAAGTATTGAAAATTATAAAATATGGGGTAGATTACTCACTTTAGTCCCAAAACGAAATGCGTGTGTCGTACGATAGACGGTTCGGGTCAAAATGGCGTAGAACCTAATATAATTAATAGTTTTGGTTTAGGAACTGCTAAACGAGAATAGAGTATTAATACAAATAATTAGACACATATTCTTATATTAGATGAATTAACAATAATTCATTTTGATTAGAATATTAAGGTATTCATTTGTTAAATGAATTTTAAATTGAATTAATTACTTTGCATAATTAATTTATATTTTCAATTTAGGCCAGATTTTAATAATTTCTTATTAAAATAATAACTTGCCCAATTATAATTATTTACAGATTTTAACAATTATTTATATGAAATAATCATTAAAATGCATTTTTACATGCTTAAATACTTAGGAAAATGGTTTTAAATAGTAAACAGTATTGAAAAATTATGAAATTATTAGGAAATCATTATTTCATACAATAATAATTACTGTAAAATTTTTATATTTTTCTGAACTGTTTTAGTATTTATTTAATACTTTAATGATTAAACAACAACAAAATCCGGGAAAAATAATAAATGATTCCCAAAAATTCTGTAAAATTAACCATAGTTTTATAACATAATATATAGCCCATTGTATAAGTTTCGGATATTTGTGACTATGGGAAGTATTTTTTATATATTTCATTATTAATTAATCAATAAAATCATAAATAATAGTAAACAGTAATATAAATGCATGAAACTTCATAAATTATGTTTAATCAATATATAGGTCATCGCAGAATTTTCTTAGAATTTATTGAATGCAAAAAGTATTTTATGTGAATTATTGCCCTACTTTATTGCAATAATTATAGTAATTCAATAAAAATAAGTTATTTTCTGAAAATTTCCAGAACTTCTTATTTTATTGATGGGATTCTGAGAAAAATCAGGTTTATGCATAAAATGAGTTTTAGATAGTTTGGTGGATTTAATTTGTTTCTTGTATGAATTTGAAACTTTTAACAACATACCTTGTTGAATGCTTCAAGAGGGATGAAGATTGGAGTATAATAGATTGTTCTTGGCTGGAATATGAGTATTTCTTGGATGAATTTCGAGATTGAGAGTGAGAGAAAGAATAGAGAAGGTTTAAGTGGTGAAGAGAATAATGTGTTGGGAGAAAAAGGAAAGGAAAGTGGATGGGAGGTGTGAGTGGGAGACCATGGGAATAATCTTTTTGCTTTTGGTGGTCTTCATAATTTCCAACTAACACAAGCATCTTTTACATAATTAATATAAGAGTTTTATAAAATTTAATGTAAAGTTTATAAAAATAGAGTTTTATAAAAGATAGGTTATTATTTGATTATAACAATCTACTTTGATTTGAAGTTTAATTATAGTATTCAAGTTTGATTCTTTTAATTTAATTAGAGCATTATACTTTGATTTGATTTTAATATGCTATCATAATTTAATTGGATTATAGTTATAACGTTGTACTATACTATGTTGCTATTAACGTCAATTTATATCGTAGTGTATGGGTTTTGATCCTATTAGCGTCAAGTAATCTTGAGTAGGGTTTATTAAATTTCCAATGTTGCTTAGCACTGTAAAGGCTAAGGAAAATCAAACACACGAATTTTCCAAATGATGTTTTCTCATTAAAGTAGTGAATTGTACAGTTATTACATAACGTAAACCCTAACATACAAGGGTTAAGGGAGTTGACCGGTTTGACTTGTTGACTTAGTTTGACTTTGCCTTGACCGAAATTTGACGGTTGTCACATCCACAATTGTATCGTCTTCCTCGTCACGAAGCTGATAACCCTTGCTTCGCGTACGAATTGTGACTCGGGGTTTCTTGATTGGTCGTGTAACCATTGTTGAATCGGCTATATCGGTTGTTTCCTGTGCTTCATCATTCAACTGTTCATCTTTAGAACTTGAAATATCAATAACTTCGTCCCATTTCCAGTTTGCCAATGCCAACTCTCTTTTCTTTTGTTTTGCAACATTCCATTCATGCAACATGATTTTAACACATTCAACTTGTTCGTTAACCTCCATCGGTAAAAATCCTCATTTTATCTCTTAGGATTATATTGGTGTTAAAAATTGATTTAAACTTTTGAGTACCTTATCGTGAATTAGTCAATATATTATTTTAACAAATTTTAATGGGAATGACGGGATTTGTTCTTATCTTATTTTATAGCTCATGTTTACCAAATATGACCCTAAGGTTATTGAAATGCATTTTCTGTTCACTTTTTAAAATAAAATTCGCAGATAATAAAAGAATATAAAGATATATTTTCATGAGTGCTTATGAAATTATTTATGATTATGAAATATTGTCTTGTTGAATCTGTTTATGAGGTTACCGAATGAATATATTTTTTTACCATAACATCCCATGATCTAAACTATAATACAGTACAACCCATGAATATATAATTATATACCAAAACAACCCTCGATTTAAAAATTAATACCACACAACCCATTAATACATATTTTTGTTTATTATGTAAGAATTTTACTTTGAAAAGGCTAAATTATAACGTTGTACTTTCATTGTATTATTTAAATCACATTTCATTTGGAAAAGAAATGTTCATGTAAGAGCATTTTCTGTCGAAAATAGTCTTCGACTCGAATATACTTTGTTTTTCGTATCTGGTTTTAGAAAGTGGATATCGGATGAGGTATCCGAAAACCACAACATCTTACTTTCATTTCTTTATAATATAGATTCTACTTTCAATGTTATTCTCAATCAGGCATTGTACTTAAATTATTTGTATAATGTTGTAATAAGAAATGAAAGTAGGATGCTATAATAAACAATAAGAAATAAACAAATACACTATGGAAAAGTATGATTCAAAAACCATAAATTCAATAATAATCATAAGAGAAAACATAAAATCCCAATATCCTAGTAGCTAAAAGCATATAGTATTAAATATAAAATACCAAATTTACGACTTGAATGTACTACAAAAAGTCATTCAAATTATTGATAAAATAAAATTGACGATCTTTCTTGTTAGGCTCATTCTTCATCCGGCCAAGCCACAACAACTCCTGTTGGATTATGTACATCATTTCCAACCGGATTTTGCTGGATCACACCTACATCATCTTCAGCCTGACGTGGCGCATCAGCTTCTTGTATTGGTTGGTTCATATCTACAGGTGACTCCAACCAATTTCTGCAAAAGGTAATTTAAAAATAATATTAATAAACACCTACAATTTAAAAACAATAGAAATAATCAATTTAGCATTAAAGTGATTAAAATTCAAGAATATAATATATAAACTAAGTTACTTTTATGAAATTATGAAATAATTGTTTAAATAAAAATGATAATATCATGACATACCCGTAATCTTCGTCATCCGGTAGATGACGAAGCTTAAAGAACCTGTTTCGGGTCTGGATCGTGAGTTGGGGGATTTTGAACGGTTTTACTGACTCAGCTGTATCTGTTGTATCATCTTCATCAGTCTACTGATGTTGATTATCAGAACTTACAAGATCAATAACTTCATTCCATTTCCAAGATTCAAGTGCTAAATCACGTTTTTTCTTTCTTTGGAGATAATGTTGTTTTTCACCAGATTCATGTGTTGTTGTATCCACATCATTGTTAAAGGCCTGCATGATGGCTGTCAAGAAAGTTAACATTATTAATTAATATAAGTAAACATAACTTCAAAATGAAACCCAAAACAATAAAGAATAGATGAACATACTTGTTGATAGTTGGAATATTCAATTTGACTGAGAAATGGGTTGGCATTTGGCGGCATTAGTATATATAATGGTATTCTTGATAAACTTTGTTTGTTATTAAGGGAGAAAATAGGTATCGTTTAAATTTTGAATTTTAAATCCCAATCCTAATCTTGTTTGTCACATGTCATTAAATCCACCAGCCTCCAATCCACTTTTCCCGCCTAAACTATATTAATGCATTTCAAGAAATTCCATTCGCAACTGATATATCTGATTTTTCATGTATTTAATCTGAAAAATAAAAAATATGTTGGTTATAGTAATATTTTAGGGAATAAAGTTTGATTTTCAAGTTTTGTAATTAGTTTGGATAGATAAATATGATCAGATTTTAAATTTTAAATATTATACTTAGTTTGGATAAATAAAAAGGATAAGAGTAATATTTGAATATATGTTGTTTTGGAGGGTAAGAAAAAGTCAACATAAATTATAACTATCGTAATAATAGTTATATCCATTATCTAAAGTTTGAATTTCAAGTTTTATAGATAGTTTGGATAGATAAATATTATTAAATTTTAAATTTTAAATATTATAATTAGTTTGGATAAATTAAAAGGATCAGAGTAATATTTTAATATATATGTTGTTTTGGAGGGTAACAAAAAGTCAACATAAATTATAACTATCGTATTAATAGCTATATCCATTATCTAAAGTTTGAATTTCAAGTTTTGCAATTAGTTTGGAAAATGTTATTTTCTTCACGTTTCGTATTTCTAGTCTTCCATCATCTTTCAAAATATGTTTTTTTTATTAGATCATATTCTTTTCTCAAGTTACTAATATTTTGAAACAGAAAATACCTTTTTAAAAGTCATGTGGAAATTTGAGTAACAATCCAAGGATTCTTAGGTAAATTAGGTCTAATATTTTCAAGTTTTGTAATTAATAGCAATCCATATTTAAAATACCACCAACAGAAAAAACTTATGATGTTATAATAAGTTATATATATATTATCTTTATAATATCCATTATCTAAAGTTTGAAATTCAAGTATTTTAAAGTAATATTATGGTAATGTACTTTCAATACAATGATTTATTATCATAAAAAAAATTGAACTTGAATATAATAAATGCCAAGCAACTACATAAATAAAAATGAAATAAACGATTAAAACAAAAAATAGGTGTTATAATAATCAACCAATACAAAGTAAATTGCTATTATTTAAATTTAAACCTTCATATTGATGGCACAATAAACAACCTTATCTATGATTCTAATTTATATTAGATTATTGGGGTGTAAAGGTCTTCATCTAATTTTTTGTATTCACCCAAGAGTAAGCCATTGGTGTCGACTATCATCCATTGGCCATAAGTAATCCACCATTTCTGTTGTTCATTCATAACTTTATCATTTGAATGAATAATATCTTCTTGTTCCAATGGTAAGGGTAATTTTGGAATTTTTGTATGCATGACCACACTAAATTTGCATTCTTCACATAACCAATCATGTTTGGGTACTTGATCTATAATGTTCTGCATACAATATGTGTGTTCAGCACCATCCTTGCATCTACTACATATAGCAAGTAAATGCTCATAGCCTACATCTCCACAAATATCACACACAATCACATCACACAATTGGTCATCAACAACCTCAACATCCATTACAGTGTGGATCTAACCTGCAAAAAAACAAAAATTTTGTACCTAGAAAATACATGGTGTTTCAAAAATGCGAATGAAAGTATTATATACCGTTTTTTGACTTACATTATATTACATAAACAAAAATTATGTTATATTAACATAAACAAAAATTACACACACACACACCATTATATTAAATATATTTTTTTTGTCTTATATTATATTAGATAAAGTTTTGTACAATATTATGTTATATTAAGATATTTTTTTTTTTGATTTACCTGATTGGACTTGAAATTTATTATTTTATGCAGGAATATAAGCTGGATTGCTAGTTTCTTCAGGATCTGTAAACACAAAACACACACACACACAACATTATATTAGATACAGTTAAAGTTTTGTACAATATTATGTTATATTTGATTTACCTGATTGGACCTGAAATTTATTATTTTATGCAGGAATATAAGCTGGATTGCTAGTTTCTTCAGGATCTGTAAACACAAAACACACACACAACATTATATTAGATACGGTTAAAGTTTTGTACAATATTATGTTATATTAAGATAATTTTTTTTGATTTACCTGATTGGACCTGAAATTTATTATTTTATGCAGGAATATAAGTTGGATTGCTAGTTTCTTCAAGATCTGTAAACACAAAACACATACACACAACATTATATTAGATATAGTTTCTTTATTTACATTATATTAGATAAAGTTTTTTAAAATATAAGTTGGATTGCTAGCTGATAAAGTATTTTGTGTTTTTTTTATGTAGGAACAGAAGATGATATGATGATCGTCGCTGGTTGATTGGGTGGTGTAGTACTGGCTGACTCACCATGTATTGTTTGCTGTTGTATTGCTGGCTGTTTCGTGTCCTGTAGACAAAAAAAAACAAAAAAAAACAATTAAAGAGACTGAATTTATGTGTTTAATTTGCAATTTTTTTCTGTTGTATTAAAGAGGGAGATACAGAGTGAGTTTGTGTATGTATGTAAACACACACACACATACACATAAACCTTTAATCACGTTTCATATTTTTTTTTGCAGGAATACAGATATATTTGATAAATTAGGGTTTTAGATGCTTGATATAAATAGGTAGGTAGAGATATCGGAAAAATTATCAAAATTTTGATTTCAAATTTTTTTTTGTCACGTTTATAATATTTTCCTATGAATTAGGTTTTGACTGTTTCATTCATTACCAAGTCAAAAACAAATGAATTGAGTAAATGTTGACCAGATAAGCCCACGATACTCTTTTTAATGCATAAATTTATTGTACAAATTGCATAATGTCTTGTACCTCTTAAATTTCAGCCTTTGACCAAATATGTATATTAAGGTATAATAGATATATCATTTATATCAAATTATTTGGGTTTCAAGTTTCAACGTATCATATACCAAATACAAACAAGATTTAAAATTATCCTATTTGAAGTAACCAAACTATTATTCAAGTTGATTGTGCAATTTAAAATTACTTTTTTTTTTACAGATAATTGGACTTTTACAAGTGGGAACACTCGCAATGGCCGTTATTCCCTTATTAGAGGTCGACAAATAAAGAATTTCCAAATTAATAAAATCCAAAATTCGAAATTTCAAATCCTTTTTCTTATTATATGATTGATTTAGACTGTTGAAGGTCGGTCGTACTTTTCAACACTCATTCACCACTATTTAGATCGATGATCTCCACAATTTCATCATCCTGTCAGCTCCTTTTCAACAAACTCCCAAAATCTCAAGAAACAGATAGCTAAAATTCAGGTACCATCGAAATCCTCTCAATCACAATTTTAAGCTTTTTATCACCATTGTCTTGATCAATGTGGCTACCCTGCTTAATTTAAACTTTCAACTGTTTTCCTTATGCAATCACCACAGTTTGAAACACCAGTTCTTTATTAAATTCAAATGGGTATTTGATCATGAATGAGTTTGTTACTTTCTTCAACTTGTAATTAGGTCTCGATTGTTTCTCTGTGGATTTTTCTGTATTTTGTATTCAATTTCAGATGGGTACTTGATATTACATGAACTTGTGATTTACTTCTGCTTGTGATCAGCGTTTAAATATTTCTTTTTGGAAATTTATTGTGTATTATATTCAGATTAAGACGGGTATGTGATGTTGCCTGATTTTGTGAATTGCTTTAACTTAGAACTTAAAAAGTAAGTTTGAAGAACTTGAATTTGTATCGGTGTATCCCTATCAACTTTGCTTAGATATCAGATAGGTTGTATCTTGTAAACAAAGTGTTCTGTTTTCTACTTTACTTAATTGGCAAGGTTTACTGGAGGTGTTAAAAAGTTTATGAATCCGAGAATGCAATATGAAATTATCTATTCTCTTCATATGAACATAACTTAATCTTGCAAAATTCACAATGGAGAATAAGAATCTTAACAATGACCATAGTTATAAGAAACTTCTTGGATTGACTAAATACAATCTCTTTGTTTTTTGATATTACATAGAGTTATTATGTATGTCTGGTTTTTGATGGTAATAATCTTTGGTCATGGTCTCATGGACTTTTGTGACTACGCAACGAGATAACTTGTGTAAATTGAAAATTTTATGGTATAAAAGCCATGTTTCAGTCAAACCTGTTAGTGTTAGTGTATGTATAGAAGATAATAGCTAGGCCCTTTTTGGGCCCACTTTATGTATTCCACAAATCCCTTGTAATCTTTCATTTATTTATGTTTTATGGAAGAAATCCATTCATGGCGAAATTACAATCTTACATGGTATCGGATTTTCTTTAGTAAACCTAATTCCCATTTCTCTTAGAAACCAGTGCCCCAACCCTCAACTGTGGCCTTCGAACGCCTCATGGCCGGCGATGCCTCCTCATCTTTTTATTTTTCTCTTTCTCTCGAAACATATTATAGAATCATCAATATCAAGCAGAGATGGGAAAAACTCATACAAAACGAAATAAACGGGTTTGGGTAAGATATTTGCATCTAAATAATTAATGGGTTGACACGAAATCGGAGTCGATCCAACATATATTTTTGTGGCCATGGGCGTAAACATGAAAAAGCCCCCTTAAATTTGAGTTTAATTTAGTGCAAACCACATAAAATACATTATAGTTTAACCAACTTATGTTTTAAACAACGTATTTTACTTTGTTATAAAAATCCATCCATTTATGCAAAAGAAAAACAAAAATTACCATATTTTACTGATTTAACCATCTTCACATTTCTTTTTTTGTAAAAGTTAGGTATTTTATTGTATTTTTTATTTTATATGTATTTTGTTTTGTATTAATATTTAATTTTTTGTTCAAATGAGAAAAATAAAATAAATTACGGTTGCTTAGACACGATTTTATATAAACTATAGTAGTTTTAAGATATTTTCTCTCTTACTTAATATTTTTTATTAAGACGTCAACTAGTTAACAAGAAGACAACAAATTAATTTTAATTATATTTTTTTTGAACGGTTATTACACACATTAAATACTATAACTAATTTTAATTATATAAAAAGATTTAAAGAGAAAAAACAAATCCCAACTAATTTAACTTCAAGTTTGATAAAACAAAAAAGAGGAAGAACCTTTAAATAGAAAAATAATAATAATACAGTCGTCGGCACAAACCAGAGTTCTTTTCATTTCTATTACCTCATCTACTTCTGCCTCTACCTCGAATGACCGCTGCCTCCTCCGAGCCTTATATCTCCTCCTCGGATGGCCTAGTCTCCGTGCCTGCTGCATCCCTCTGTCGGCACCTTCTCCTTCGGGCTCCTCTCTCTCTCTCTCTCTCTCTCTCTCTCTATATATATATATATATATATATATATATATATATATATATATATATATATATATATATATATCAAAAATGCAGTCGCCGATATTACCGATACCGGCTCCATCCGTCGCAACTAAAGCTCTCTTTCCTTCTCGTTGCCTTTATTTGGACTCCTCAGTCGTCAACTTCATGATAATCGTCAATGTCGTTGCCTTTTTTCTTCTTCTACAATGGAACCGTCTCTGGCCGTCGCTTCTTATCTCTTCTTCTTCGATGAGTAGTTGTTAACCACCATCGTGAGAGCTTTGACACCGTAGTTGACAATCTCTACATCTTTGTTTTTCTTTTTCAGTTTAACTGTCACATCCTAATCAAATTGCAAGGGATGTTAGTATGTCAACATCTAGGGTTTAGGCCCAAGACCCTTATGGTTTAGGTTAGGTCATTGGCCACTTATGTATCCCTATTTATATGAGGTTTAACCCTTACTATTAATCAAATAATCTATAATCTTACAAAGAATTTCAACTCGAAAATGACTTGTTTATTTATATGTATGTTTTGAGTTCTTTAAATAAACTAGAAAGACCTAAAACCAAAACCATATGTAAAAAAAAACCTTTTTGTTTAGTCGTTTTGTAATGTGGAAACAACTCATCTGTATAGGTCAAAACTTTACTTTCATTTTCAAATTTTCTATTATCTCCAAAACTACATAATCCCCTTGACCACTCCTTTTTCCTCATGACCTCGTCCTCCGCCTTCCAACTCATGCTCTTTCCATTTTGCTCTCTAAACTTAGTATGAATTTAGCCATTCTGCTTCCCAACTATGATTTATTCCTTTCCACATACCCAACTCATACTCTTTCAACATGTTTAATGTTTCAACCTCATATGCCACGACACATTTAATGGTATACTCCTAACCCGAAACCCGAAACGAAACTAAATGGGTTGACAACGACACAACAAGTTAATTAAACCGGTCGAGATAGGGTCTAGCTCTCTCAACCGTTTACTGTTTTGACACGAAACGACACGACATGTTTTCCGAGTCTAATATCAAGGCATTCATTTCTTTCACCCTTGATCTTACGTGATTTAATATGATGTCCGGAGAGACCACTTTGAAATGCATTACATTAAGTTTGGTGGTCTTAATCATAATGGTAGCTCCAACCAGGCCCAAACTGCCACACATGACAAACCAAAATGGCTCAATATCGACTCCATAGTCAAACATGGATCTGCGACACAATATCTCAACCCCTTATTTAGACCATCCTTAAAAATACTCCACGACTTGTTATATGGATCAATTTGAAGATTCTTTTCATGACAACAAAGATGCAAAATCCATACAAGTTGACAACAAAATGAGAAACATCGTGATCAGGAACTTTTCAATCACAACTTAATGTCCCCGAATCAAAACTATCTCTGGCCTTTTTGATAATTTGATTCGACTATTCCAGAGAAGAATCATGTTTACATATGTGATAAACGGATTGTCCCCTAAATCAGACAACATAGTGAGTCTCATTTGTCATCAATCGCCTCTCTTCCTCTCTTCGCATTCTTAGAAGCTAGATCAATGAAACTCCTTGAAGATTAAAGAACGGCCTAAGTTCGCCCCAACAATCTTCCCATTTTGATCACTGATCACCTGCGGTTCTTAATACATAATCAAGCTACCAAATTCCAGATTAAAGTCGAGACAATGTTAGAAGCCACTGTCAGCGGTCGCACAACGACCAACAACCACTACATTAGGTTGATCAATCGGGCCGACTAACAACCTTGATGGACTTCGCTGGCGTTCAAAACACAGAGAAACCAATATTTGTAACCCGTATCGATCGATTACTTCATTTGCATAGCATCCTTATCACCCACCCCCCTACACACACCCACACACACACCAATATCATCAAAAACCTATTTCATGTTCATCAATTTACTTGTACTAATAAATGTTCTATCAGTTTTAGTGAAACCGTGTATATTTATTATTAATAAAAGATTATTCGATCCCTAATATATATATATTGAAAGATACTATTAACTAAATACAATTAGGTACCCTCTAATATAAAACAATGTATTAAACTACACTAACTAACATTCCCCCGCAAGCTAAGGGCGGGGAACGACCTGTAGCTTGGATCGTAAGAACAAAAATCTTTGAGAGGGCAACGGCTTTGTAAAAACATCAGCGATCTGATCGACAGTGGAAATGAACTGAACACGGAGTTGACCGGTTTCAACCACATGACGATGAAGTCTCTCAACAAAACCATTTTGCTCGTTAGTATGAGGGCATGGCCGATGATGAATGATTCCAAGGGATGAGAAATACGAAGAGGGATTGAGAAATTCCCCTCCCCAATCAGTTTGAACACTTTTGACTTTAGAATTAAATTGTCGTTCAACCATTTTAACAAAATTGATGAAGGTTTGAAAAACATCAGATTTATGTGGTAACGGGTAAAACCACATATAACGAGAGTGATGATCAACACAAAGCATAAAGAAACAACAACCATCAAAAGATAAAGTTGATGCAGGACCCCAAACATCACAATAAATTAAGTCTAAAATGTTATAACTTCGAAAAGATGAACTAGGTAATGAAAGTTTGGAAGATTTCCCTAGTTGACAAGAAGAACATAAATCTAAACATTGTTTTGTGGAAACAGAGCGAAAAACTAGAAACAATAGTATTAAAAACTCGTTCATGTGGGTGACCAAGGCGGTGATGCCAGACACTTGAAGAAGCTTTAATTGCTGTGAGAGCGATCTTTGGTATTGGCTTCAGACCGGGAAGACACAGAGAGTAGAGACCATTATTACTTGGTCCCGTGAGAAGAGTGGTGCGAGTAAGTTCGTCCTTCACAACAAATAAAGAAGAGTGAAATTCAAAGAAGACATTGTTGTCATTACAAAATTGTTGGACAGATAAAAGATTTTTCTTAACTTCAGGAACATGAAGGATATTAGAAAGATCAAAGGTTTGATTGGAAGAGTAAATTTTTGAAGATCCAATATGAAGAATAGGGAGAGAATTACCATCACCAACATGAAGAGAGTCTGAACCACGATAAAACTCAGAAGTGTCAAGATTGGACAAGTCTGGTGTGGTATGAGAGTTTGCACCTGTGTCAAGGAACCATGTAGTGTTTGAAGTGGAGACGTTATCAGCATAAGTGGCGAAATTGGCTTGTAGGTTCGATCTTGTAGGGTTGCTAGCACCTTGATTATTTGGACACTGAGATGGTAGATGACCAATGCCACATCGATTGCAATGACCAAACACAGTGTTTTGCGTGGAGGCCCAAGCAAATTGCCTAGAAGAGCTTGAGTTGTTATCACGGCACGTGAGTTATTTCCACGCGAGTTGCCTCGATGATTGCCTCGATAGTTGTTTGCGGGTCGTGAAGCATAAAACACTTGAGGAGTTGCACTCTGTGGGCAATCAGGTTAAGTTGGAAGCCAAGTTGGGACGCCATATTATGTACAGATTGAAGTTGGCTTTGAAGGTTACTGATGTTGGGTGATGGTGTTCCTGTTGAGGCAGTAAACACATGTGGCTGTGAAGCAGGGACAACAGCAAGATTTTTATTGATCATGTAGTCATGATTACTAAGCAAAGCATGCAACTCGATGAAGGTAATAGGTGGGTGACGGGCTAGAAGGGTGGACTTGAGTCCATTGTATTCTTCACGTAGCCCGGATATAACAAGAAGGACCAGATCCTTGTCTTTAACATGCTCACCAATGTTGGAAAGTGCAGTAGCATATTCTTGTGCACGTGCAAGATAGGTAAGAGGAGTTTCATCACCTTTCATGGCAAGTTTTAGCAACTGAGTTTTCAGTGTGTACTCTCTGGAGGTGTTGTTTGGAGCATAAACACGTTCTAAATGTAACCAGAGATCTCGTGAGGTAGTACCTTGGACGTGTTGGAAGGAAGATTCTGATATGGTGGAGATAATGATCATACGAACATGAGCATCATTAGAGATCCAACGAGGGTAACTAGGGTTGTCTGTAATTGCATCTGCTGTGCCGACTTTGGGCTCTGGGCATAGTATTGTACCGTCAACATAACCAAACAGATTGTTGGAGATAAGAAAAGGTTCGATCATAGCCTTCCAATACCCATAATTCGTGGGTGAGAGGGTAAAAGCAAACTTGTGAGAATTATGAGAGTTTTTCTCTTATGTAGTGAAGGCAGCTATGGTTGCCATGAAGCTTCGTGATCGACAAACGATTAGGGTTTATGTCGTGTCAAAGACTGCAGATTGAGCGATGGCTGGTAATAGCGTTTTAGGTTTACTTGGCTCTGATACCAAATGAAACCGTGTATATTTGTTATTAATAAAAGATTACACGATCCCTAATATATATATTGAAAGATACTATTAACTAAATACAATTAGGTACCCTCTAATATAAAACAATGTATTAAACTAAACTATCTTAGTCTAACAGTTTTGAAGAATTTTGTGTTTCTTTAAAGGACTACAAGAACAAGACCCATCAAAATCTCCATCGATGTGAAAGTTTCGGTGACATTATCCATAGACATCTCATTCTCCCCAAGCTTTTGTGCCGTCTTGTTCTCTCTTTGGCATCAACGACTTGGTTATCCCTATGATCAACTGGTTCTCCGAGGGATTACTATTATCTTTATATCAAGAGTTTATGTCCGTTTGGACAACTACGTGATAGAACTTCAGGGATGTTAGTGTATGTATAGATGGTTATAGTTATGCCCTCTTTGGCCCACCATATATCGCCTAGAAATCTAACCACTTAACCGTTTCCTATAATTATAATAGTTCAATGGCTAAATAGATAAAATGGTGAAAGTATCTTATGTATTATTGTATATGTTGGAGCCCCTTCTCTCCACAAGGGTTCTTTTGGAGAGACAATCTTGGGTTCTACATGTATTTACATGGTTAAGTGGCTAAGTTGATTGAAAATTTTGTTATATATTTGTTTGCAGTTTCTTTTATTGATGTACAATGCAAAGATCACGTAAAGCTCTTCTTACTAGAAGAGCATTGTGGAAGACTAATAGGACGAACTTCTTTTATAAGGCGTCCTTGCCACCTGTCGTCTTTATGTGGGGACTTCTCTTCCTTCTATATATACGGATTGGCCATGATGATGGTTACAGAGGTGAGATACATGCTGTTTCTTTTACTTGATATATTTAACAGGTATATGAATTAATCTGTGTTTCTTTTTTACTTAATTTAGAACAAAACTACTAACAAAGATATTCAAAAAATCGGCTTTCCTCGTTAAGTCCTAACATTTTACAACTTTACCCTTATTTATTTATTTTCCTTTCATTTTCCAAATATGCAGTCATTTTCTCAAATATATTTTTGCACAGACTCACTGTTGCTTCACCTTTTTGATAGGATAAAATATTGCAATTTTAATTTTGTTCCATAGTCACAGTCATCTATTTTGTCGTGTCTTCCTGCATGGGGAAGTCTCTATTTGTAGTTTATTTGTACATATCTTTTCTTACATGATCAATTTTGTTGATTTATGTAGATGGTCTGATAGATCTTCCAAAAGATTCCTACACTTATCAGACAGAAACCAAATCCGGGATTATCCAAAACCATGCTTTCATTAACAAAACACAACAAATTCATTTCTCATTCTCTAATGAGGAACTAAAAGAGACAAAAACCGAAAGATTTTTAGTACAAGATCTTGATGAATTCAAGAACAAGGCTTTTGGTGGTGCAAAAATGCATCCATCAAACCCTAATCCAGATAACATAATTCACCGGCTTGAACCTAGCGGTGCGAAATACAACTATGCCTCATCATCAAAGGGTGCAAAGGTCTTGGCTCATAACAAGGATGCCAAGGGTGCACCCAACATCTTAAACACAGACCAAAATCAGTACCTTCGAAACCCGTGTTCGTCTGAGGACAAGTTTGTCATTTTAGAACTATCAGAAGAAACCCTAATTGATACTATCGAAATCGCTAATTTTGAACACCATTCATCGAATCTAAAGGGGTTCGAGGTGTTTGGGAGTTCAGTATATCCTACCGAATCTTGGGTAAAACTCGGAATTTATACCGCTGTAAATGTGAAAAACTCACAAAGATTTGTTCTCCGTGATTCGAAGTGGGTGCGGTATGTAAAGTTGAATCTACAGAGTCATTATGGAACGGGGTTTTATTGTACGTTGAGTACTCTTCGGGTTTATGGTGTGGATGCGGTTGAAATGATGCTTGAGGATTTGGTTTTTGCACGAAATAATGAGGTTTTGTCTAACGAACATGAAAGTGATGGAAAACCAGAGGCGGAAGATGAACTGTGGTTAGAGGAAAGGGCTAATGTGCCTGACCCGCATGTGGGAAGGTTGCCTGGGGACAGTGTTCTTAGGTTATTGATGCAAAAAGTTCAATTGTTGGATATAAATTTAACGGTTTTGGAGAGGTTTTTAGATGAATTGAACTCGAGATATGGTTATATTTTTAGAGAAATAGATGCGGAAATTGGAGAAAGAGATGTTGTGGTGGAAAAAGTACGCATGGATTTGAGAGATTTTCATGACAGCAAGGATGTAGTGGTATGTTTTTGTGTTTGTTTATGATGATTATGTTTGTTATTCAATACAAGACAATGACATAAATTATACTGTGTTTGGTGTGCATTACAATCGTGACAAAAATGCAATTTTTTGTCCTACCCAAAAAGATGGAACAAAGGTGATTGCTTGTCTGTGCAAAAGACGTGAATGCCCTTTTTTGGTCGGCCTTTGTTGTTGATTTGAACCTCAGTGAGTTGTGTTTTTTGTTATTTTGCAGAAAGAACATGTCGATGAGCTGGAATCATGGAAATCTCTTGTGTCCATTGAACTGGATATCATGACGATGGACAATGCCTTCCTCAGGTTAGATTTTTACATTCAGAATGAGTCCAAGTTCGACTTTTGCATTTCTAATGATTTATCTCTTAATTTCATAATCGATAATAATTATAATCTATGTATAGAAAAACTTTATAGCTACGAAAAACAGTATAAATATGTTATACAATAGATATATTCCAGATGTAAAACGAAAAAGAAAGCTACGTCAAATTTGAAGCTGAAAAGTACTTGAGTTGACTCTTAAAAGTAAAAAACGAGACTCTATGTAAACCGGTTGGCGTCAAATCCGTAGTGACCCGTTACTAATATTGTAAATAATCAGTGTCTATATTATTCTAAGATTTTGTTTCCTTTTACGTAATGGACTTAGCAGATATGACTTAATCATGTAAGCTATATAAGAGTGTTTACTTTTAACTAAATGCACACAAGACTTAATAGAGAAAGTCACGAAAAAACTTTGCCCATTAACTCCTAACCTTTTACAAATTCCCATCATTCATTTTTTCCTTCCATTTCTCCATTATGCCATTATTTTCTCAAATATTTATTAAAACATTTATCCAAACAACGCCTAATGTATGAATGTGAACGCAGATCGGAGGTTGCAAAGTTGAGAGTGAATCAAGAACGTATGGAGGATACAGGAGTTGTTATATTTTTGGTGTCTTTGACATTTGGATTGTTTGCTATAGCTAATCTATTTCTCAATAAACTTTTGTTTATTTATTATAGAGATGACAGAACTCAAAAAAGTATAGTTGAATTTGGCTGAGGGACCACTCTTCGGGTTTTGTCCTATTGAGTTTTACTACTATATATCTTCATAATCACCTCGTTTTGAGGATCACATGTATATATATATGCTATAGCCAATTTTGGTAATTTTTTGGTCACATGTTCATTGGTCAATCTTGTATAATATCTGTTGAAAATCTAGTTATACAATGAATTTAAATAACAAGTTAGAGATGTGAGCAAAACATACAATTATAACACACACTATGAGAGATCTAAATTATTTTTTTGTTCTCTTCAAAACATACAATTGATTATCACCACCTAATATTTCTTGACTTGGAAACTTTTCCTCAATATATGGAGGATATAATTGGTTGATCACATGTGAACATGTTCATTTTTCTTAAAGGCATGTTGAATAAATACACTAATGAGAGGTCAATTTTTTAAGACACAAGCGTTGTATTTTTTGCACCATTAATACCATCATTTACGTCCCACTTAGCCACCTATTTACAACTCAATAACCCGTCAAATTCTTGAGTTTTTAGCAAGTTGATTTATCAAGTTTGATCAGCGTATTAACTATTAAGCCTACACTATAGTTTATGATCATATTGATAAATAATAATACGACTTTTTTTTGAACAAGTGGATGATTATATTATAAAGTTAGCAAAAAGGTAACGAAACGAGATTACAAACGATCAATAGCCAAGATAGGTTAAGTAACCACGAAATCCAACTTAACACTTATCTTTCTATTCCTATAAACAAATCAATTATATGAATAGTCAACTAAACCTTCGGTTAACAAATTCTCGCCTGGCACCTTGATCATGAAAAATAACACCATTTCAAAAATTCCTAAGGATCCACAGTTAGCCTATATATTATTAGCCTATATGTTTATGAGCCCTTTAGTCTTTAGCCCATTAGGGTTTTGTCTAGTTAGTATTTATATCCGTTTTATTCTTTGTAGCCTTTATGCTTTTCATTGAGAACCTTGTAATTTCTCTCTATCATAATCATATGGAAATGTTATCATGGTATCAGAGCGGAGGTTTGATACGTTGTTAGAAGACTTTGTAGCAGTCATCTGTGGCGCGGATCGAAGTGTTTGATGTTTCTTCGTTGGTGATATTCGTTTGTTTGTTGGTATTCGTTTGCTGTTGCTGTTAGTTCTTTGTTGCTGTTCGATTTCTTATTGTTCGATTGATTGCTTCCGCTGGTTTGTTACTCCTCTCATTCTCAGATTGCTATACTATTATTGTGGTTATTTATTCATTTCCAACATGACTGGAAAGGATGATTCCCTTCAGTCAAACAGTACTCGTCTAGATGGAAAGAATTATACGTATTGGAGTTATGTTATGAAGAACTTCCTTCGTGGGAAGAATATGTGGGGCTATGTCACTGGGACTAAAGCCAAACCCTCAGTGCCTCAAGCTGAGAATTTCGATTTGTTGGTTGATGCTTGGGAGACTGATAACTCCAAGGTCAATACTTGGATTAATAATTCTGTTACTCAGTCTATTGGTATGCAGTTGGCTAAATATGACACAAAAAAGGAAGTTTGGAACTACTTGGAGAGACTATATACTCAGTCCAACTTTGCTAAACAGTATCAGTTAGAATATGATATTCTTGCCCTTCAACAAAATGACCGGAGCATTCAATATTTCTTTGCTGCTATGTCTGATTTGTGGGATCAATTAGCTTTTATTGTATCTAAAGAGTTAAAAAATTTTGAGCCTTGCATTGCTAGGAGGGAAGAACAACGTTTGGTCCAATTCTTGATGGCCTTGCGTTCTGATTTTGAAGGCCTACGTGGAACGATTCTTCATCGCTCTCCCCTTCCATCAGTGGATTTTGTTGTTCATGAGTTGATTGCTGAGGAGACTCGTATCAAGTCTCATGCGGATAAAGGTTTTAAAGCAACCTCCATTCCTACTTCCACTCCTGTTGTGCTTGCTGTTTCCTCTAATCAGTCTCGACAAACTTCAAGGGTTGCTTATGATGAGTGTGCATTATGCAAACAGAAAAATCACTGGAAAGCTCAGTGTCCATTGTTAGTCAATAAGGGTAAATCTGGTTAGCCTCAGTCTAGACAACAAAATAGGTCTGGTCAACAGAAGTTTCCGCCATGTTCCTCTGGTACTCCCCCATGGACACCTCGTCCTCCATAGTTTGCTGCTGCTACTACACCACCAGTTGACATAGAATCTGTTGGAAACATGCCACCATCTACATTGGATCCCAAGGTTTTTGATAGTTTCAAACAATATTTGGCCTCTAATCCCACTGCCATGTCTGCATCTATGTCTTATTCTGGTCCTACTTCATCCGGTACATCAGGTATTCCCCCATCTCTGTGGATTTTAGATTCTGGTGCAACCCATCACATGACTCCTCATTTGTCATCATTTACTTCTTTGTCACATGTGTCATCTATTTCTATTATGTTTGCTAGTGATACATCTATGCTAGTTGAGGGTGTTGGGTCTGTCTCTATTTTTCATATCATTCTCCCTGATGATTATTACATTCCCAAACTTACTTTGAATCTTGCCTCAGTCAGTCAGTTATGTAAGTCTGGTAACTGGGTGTTCTTTTTTGATTCTGTCTGTGTTATACAGGATCAACACACCTAGAAGGTGATTGGGATCGGCCGTAGGGTGGGGGAACTGTATGTCTTGGAGGTTCTCAAAGTATCTACTGTTGCTGCCTCCAACATTATTTGTATTCTTTTCGTTTGAGTCCTTTGTCGTCTGAGTTTTATCTTTGGCATTCTCGTTTAGGACATGTGTTTGTATCATGTTTGAGTTTTCTAGCATCTAGTGGTGTTTTGGGTCATTTAAACTCTTGTGATATTTCTGATTGTAGTGGTTGTAAACTAGCAAAATTATCTGCTTTACCTTTCAATAAAAATATGTCTTGTTCTACTGCTCCTTTTGATATTATTCATTCTGATGTGTGGGGTCCTACACCGGTATCCACAAAAGGTGGGTCAACCTATTATGGATCTTTTATAGATGATTATACTCGATATACATGGGTTTATCTTATGAAACACAAATGTGATTTCATTGGCATTTACAAAAATTTTAGAGCTCTTGTTAAAACTCAACATTCGGCTGTGATTAAGTGCTTTAGGTGTGACTTACGGAGTGAATATACCTCTAATGATTTTACTCAGTTACTTGATTTTGATGGTACCATACACCAGTTATCGTGTACTGACACTCCTCAGCAAAACGGTGTGGCAGAAAGAAAACACCGTTATATTGTTGAGACAGCCCGCTCATTGCTCCTGTCTACGCGGGTCCCTAGTGCCTTTTGGGGAGAAGCAGTCCTAGCTGCTATATATGTGATTAATCCTATCCTTACTTCATTGAATTTATGAATGTCTCCTTTTGAGAAGCTATATGGTCACCAACCAGACTACTCTTCCTTACGAGTTTTTGGATGTACTTGTTTTCTTCTTCGTCCTCATGTTGAGAGGAACAAGTTGGGGCCGAAATCTGCTATTTATGTATTTTTGGGGTATGGTTTTGGACATAAAGGATACCGTTGCTATGATCATGTGAGTAAGAAGTTATATGTTTCTCGACATGTCACTTTTTGGAACATATTCCTTTCTACTCGATTCCTGCTACAACCCATAATGTAACGAAGTCAGATCTTCTGCATATTGATCATTTTAATTAAGAGATAGAGGCTCAAGACCCATCAATGCCATCTGATCCTTCAGCTCATGACACACCCACTTCTTCAGAGACTTCCTCGACTCCCCCTGTTCCTGAGTCTGCTCCTTCGACTGTTGAAATTGAAGATCCACCTCCACCACCACCCTTTAGGAGATCTACTCGTCCTGTCAAGTCCACTAAGCTTCCAGATTTTGCTTACTCTACATACTCAGTACCATTTGCTTCATTTATAGCGAGCATCCATCATCTGTCTGAACCTAAATCATATAGAGAAGTTGTTTTAGATCCTCTTTGACAGAATGTTATGGCTAGGGAACTCAGTGCTCTTCATCAAAATCATCCATGGGATTTGGTTTCCCTTCCTCCTGGGAAACATACGATAGGTTGTCGTTGGGTGTACAAGATAAAAACAAAAGCTGATGGGTCTGTTGAGCGGTACAAGGCCAGACTTGTAGCAACAATACGGTTTTGACTATGAATAGACATTTTCCCCAGTTGCAAAGATGATGATAGTTCGTACTATGATTGCAGTTGCATCCGTTCGACTGTGGAAGATCTTTTAAATGGATGTCAAGAATATATTTTTGAATGGTGACCTCCATGAAGAGGTTTATATGACTCCTCCCCCAGGAATTCAGCACTAGCCGGGTGAGGTTTGCCGGCTTCACAAAGCTTTGTATGGTCTCAAGCAAGCCCCTCGTGCTTGGTTTAAGAAATTCTCCACATTGATTACATCTATTGGATTTGGCCAGAGTAATCATGATTCGACTTTGTTTGTTAGATGCTCGAGTGCAGGATGGATTCTTTTGTCCTTATATGTGGATGACATGATTATTACTGCTGATGACCATGGTGGTATTGAGTCTTTGAAGAATGATCTAGCTCATCGATTTGCTATGAAGGATTTGGGCTTGCTGCGTTATTTCTTGGGTATTGAGGTAGCTCAATCTAAGAAAGGGTATATTCTTTCTCATACTATATATATATATATATATATATATATATATATATATATATATATATATATATATATATATGACTTGTTTACACGGGCAGGCCTCTCTGACAATCTTACTGTTGATACTCATCTTGAAACCAATGCACGGTACTCTCCTACTGATGGTGTTCCTTTGTCCGATCCGAATTTTTATTGCACTGTTGTGGGAAGTTTGGTTCATCTCACAGTTACTCGTCCAGATATTGCTCATGATGTTCATGTTGTCAGTCAGTTTGTTACTGCTCCTACCTCTGTTCATTGGGGAGCTGTACTCCGTATTCTGATATATCTTCGTGGCACTCAGTTTCAGACCCTCTTGTTTCTCTCGATGTTTTCTCTTGA